ATTTTCTTTTAGGTACTTTTCAATATCAACTTGGAAAATTTTATTTACTGCAGATCAAGGGTTTGCAAACTTTTTCCGTAAAGGACCAGATAGTAAATATTTTAAGCTTTGTAAGCCACATCCTCTGTGTTGCAACTACTCAATTCTGCCCTTGCAGCGAGAAAGCAGCATAGACGATACATAAATGAACAACTAGGTCACGTTTCAATACAACTTCATTTATGGACATGGAAATCTGAATATCATTTACTTTTCTTGTGCCATGAAATGCTCTTGTTCTTTTTACACTTTTCAGCTGTTTAAAAGTGTAAAACAGTTCTTAGGTTGTGGGTTGTACAAAAACAAACCCTAGGCCATATTTGGCCAGCAGGCCACAGTTGGCTTACTCCTGGTATAGATGCTCAAATAATTGATGTATTTTTCTTGATTGTAACCATTACCTGACAAAAAAGGAGAAAGTTTTCTGAAAAACAGCCAAATAATTCTTTATTAAGACTTATGTTTCACACTGTTCTATCTGACATTTTTTCAGACATCTTTCTCCAATTCTCTGCAGTTGAGAGATGAAATACATTTTTTTGGATTCTCTCCTTGACACATTCTTATCCATAGCTACCTTTGGCTGCCATGTGATGTGAAGTCCCTTTAATCTTGTACTCAGGAGGCCTTTCCTACTCCTATATAAAGACTATTAATTATAAATGCTCTAATCATGCAACTATTAAAACACAGTATGCAATGATTAAGCAATTAACATTTTTTATTTTCTAAAACTAGAAAGGAGCAAAGTTAAATCAGCTTTGTAATCACATAAGTTCACTGGGACAGTCGTTTCTACTTTCAGGGTGGTTATAGCAACAACATTAATACTAATAGTATGAGTAGTATGGATAAATTAGTACATACAGTTTGGTACATTGAATTCCCATATCCAACGGAATTCTATTCAGTTTTATTACTTACATTATTTTGTTATGGTTTGAGATCAAGAAGAAAATTGTGAATAAGTTTTCTATAATTTCCTTGTACAAAACAAGGATGTGTCAGATAAAGTAGTACCTTATGTGACAATTATAGGAATTGTTAAATAAATGTTTGTGTTGCTTTTTGGACTCAGAAAACTTAACACACTAAAAATACATATCTGTGATAGCACAGAAAGTTTCATTTCATCCTAGACTTTGAGGCAGGAAATCTTACTCCGAGCAGTGAAATGCAAATGGGACCCACGTCCTGCATTTGATGATCAGTGTTCCTTCTCCAGGCTGTTGCGATGTTGGGTTTATCTCTTACCGTTGCCTGTGCTGTAAGTAGGTCAATGCTTTCTGAACCAGTATCAGAAGAAACTGTTTCTTCCGTGTTGGTAGAGCAGGGAAGCATCATCTCCCTGTTTAGCTAATGATTATCCACGGTGAAAAGGATTTCTTTTAAACCCAAGGACTTTTCAGAGCCTCAAGTGTGCTGAAGTTCATTGTCTCCACCAACCATGATGTGTGAACCGGTGCTTACCACCATGATCCTCACAGAGAGGGCCATGTTCCCTGAGGACGGATGACTGCTGTCCCAGGTGAAGGGAGATGAGAAGCCACTCTTGTTAGAAGCTGTCAGCAATTTGGAGAGTTAAAAGAGTCACAAGACCCTCACAATTATTTCATTATACCCTGCCTCACTTCCAAAGGATCTGACAAGCTTGCAGAATACATTGAGACTAAAACCAAGAAAAATTAAAGGAGATGAGGAAAGAGGTCAAAGGAAAATAAACCAAGGAATCTAATATGAAGCCAAGGATAATGTTAGTCAACCTAATTTTTACTATAAGGTATATAAAGTTCCCAGAGCTGAGCCACAAATTTGACTCTCAAGTTTTCTAGAAATGAGAGAAACCTGATGCACAGTATCCATGAGATAGAGCAAACCACTGCCTACAGAGAAAAAGATTAAAAAACAAACAAATAACAACCAAAACCCCCAAGATGTACCCTCTGGGTCCTCGTACAAGGACTGAAGGATAATGAGGGAGATGCATTCTGGCCCCATCTGTCCCTACCGAACTTCTCACTTAAAGTTAGAAAAGCAGGCTGAGGAATGGGATCAAGGGTCTAGGCAGCATTTCCTTATGTCTCTTTTATTTCAATACATTTGTCATTTTTATCAAGTGAATATGTGCATGTGTTTAAAACTCAAATATCCAGATGGCCTTATAATAAAAGCAGCAAGTTGTGAGTCGAGGATGTTAATCCCCCTTCCCTTCTCTCCTAGCTCCACTTTGGTCTTCCAATCCTTAACATTTGTATCTTTACTTCTATATTATCCAAGCTGAATAACATAGATATTTGGTTACATAACCACAATTAAAATCCTCTGTCCATATTTGCTGGTGTGATTATAAGGTTGAAAATCAAGTGTTTACGTGATTATGACTACAGTGGATTGTAAATGTATGCACCAAGCCTAGATGTGCACATAAGTTAAAATTTCTTATTCCCTATGACTGATGGGCTCTCACTCAGGGTCCTGACCCTCCTGGGTAGCCGGGAGAACATGCCCTTGATGACGAATCATATGTCACTGGGTCGTGAGTCCCGTAGATTGCATTGCACTTCCTGGTTGGGTGATCCCTGGAGGTACTTGGGACTCGGTGTGTAGACACACATACGTGTAAGGTTTATTACAGGGGAGAGGACACAAAGCCGCAGAGGGAAAAGGCATGCGGAGTGGGGTCTGGAGGAAACCGCAGGCAGCCTTCCAGGAGTCCTCACACAGGACAAACCTGTCCTCCAGCGACGAGTTGTGACAGCACAGGGGACGTGTTGTCTGCAGGGAAGCCCTTTAGAGACCCAGTGCCCTGGATGTTTACTAGGCGCTGTCGTATGTGCACTCCTACCTGGTGCTCACCACGATTCCAGACACTCAGGGGATCAGAAGGTGTTCGGCACAAGCCACATTGTCTGTGCAGACAGTTTGGATGCTATAAACCCTCTGTGTGAGAAAGGGAATTGAGGGGACACTCCCCAAATCCAAATTCCCGGACGCCAGCCAAGGGCCAGGCTTGGAAGCAGCCTCTCTAAGGACTGCAGTCTCAGGCCGGCTCTGTTAACTCTTTCCTGCACAGTCACTTCCTTCCTGCCAGTGTAGGCAGTGGCTTTTGGTTGAATGATCTGTGAATTCAAAATCTAGCTCCCTTTGAGGCTTGGTTTGAACAATGTCTACAAAAGGTTGGCTCAGTTTCTTCAAGGTACATGCTCAGTCTCCCAGATTTCCTCTGCTTCCCCATTTTTTCTCTAAAAAGTCATGTGTGTGTGTTTGTGCACGAGTTTGTGTGCAAGATGTATTGTGTATTGTGTTGTATATGTGCATGTTGTTTTTGCATTGTGTGTGCATGAGTGTGTGTGTGTACATATGGTATGTGTGTATGTGTGGTGTGGTGTTTGTGTGGATGTATGTGTTATATGTGTGTGGTGTGTGTGTGTTTGATATATGTGTGTGTTGTATGTGGGTCTGTGTATGGTGAGTTGTGTGTGTAGTGTAGGTACATGAGTGTATACACCTTTGGTGTGGTGTGTGTGTGCATGCGCGTGTGTATGTGCCTGTGTGTTGGTGACGGAGAGAGGGAGGGCACGTGATTCTCATGTCGATGTGCAAGAGCGGCCGGGATCCTTGAGTGCCTTCCACATTTTCATTAGTTTCTGCTGCAACATGGCCTGGCAGCCATCTTGGCCTGGATGCTGGAGCAGGGTGGTCCTGGTACCAACTGGTGATGACAGATTACTCTCCTAACTTAAACCTCTGCTGTGGCCTCAATGTCTTGGGTAGTAAAATCATCACAACCACCACCCCTTTGTCCTAACCTTCCTCCACCCCTGGCTGGGCGCTGGCCCTTATAACATATCTGCTCCAGCTCTGTCATTACAGCAGCCTTTCTGTCCTTCTTCTTCACTGTCACAGAGACACTGACCCAACTCTCCCATGGCTTTCCCCAGAGTCACACACTGCGAGTGAGCCCAAAGCTGGGCCACATTTGGCTTTCCCTCAGGCAGCCTGACGTTCTCCTGAACTCAGGCCTCTCAGGCATAAAAGTCAACTCTGCAACTCTTTGCTTATCCCCCAATCACTTTTTACCATTCTCCCACCTATTTGATAATGAGGTTAGATAGAGAATTTTAGGTCAAAAATCTTTCCCTCTCAGCTTTGAAGATATTTGCTACTACTTTAAAATTCTATTTGGATTTTGGTTTCCAACTAGATGATCTGACCTTTCTCTCTAGAAGATTCTAGGATCTTCTGTTTATAAAAATTTAACTTTCTCCCTGTTTGCTGCTCTAGATCTCACTCTGCTCTCTCCCATCTGCCTTTTTCTTGAGCCTTCAGACTCTTTATGATCTTGCAGGGCACAGAGGCCTCCTCCTCTGCTACAGGCTATTGTGGATTTCCAGAAAAGCATGGAAACCTCTTCTTGATCAACACTCTGTATTCTGTTCTCATTGGTATTATGGGCTTACACGGTGCTAGTTTTTAAGTGTAATTCTCACGATGCCTCAGGAGAGAGGAGATAAATGTGTCTGCTCAGCCTGCCAACCAGGACAGGCAGTCCTTATAGATGTGCCTCAGCACATTCCCCTACTGCCCCCAAAGAATCCTCTTGAGTGTAATTTGTATGTGTCTTTTCATTTAAAAGTCATCAATTGAAATTGCAATGAACTTAAGAAAACTTATTTAATTTAGTTTTTAAACAATTAAATTGAACTGCAGTGGGGGACTACTACGTGTAAATGTACTGCATGTTTAAAACAATGTGTCAAATGTTATGTTAGTATATTTATGAAAATAGTTCTGACCTACTGGATCTCCCCAAAGTGTCTTGGACCATACTTTGAAAATCATTGGATTACAGCTTAATTTCATTATTATTTTGTAAGGTAAATAGGTAGATTTTAGAGAATGTGTTAGGGAGTACATTTGCTTTACAATTTGTGCACCAAGGATATGTGTTTTTCTTAAAGGGTCCGTCTTGCTGGGAAGATGTCTTAATCCCAAACCAGATGAGTGGTGAATGCCAGTCTCCAGACTGCCCTGGGACTAGAGCGGTAAGTACCTGGTCAAATCCACTCTTTTTAAAACAAGAAAATGATGGCATCTCCAGTGTTTACTAGGAAATTAGAACAGAGACAAAAAAAGCCAACTGACTTTGCTTCTATCTGATAATGTTCACCAAAAGTGATAGAAAATTCAAAATGTTTATAATATTCACCAGAAATTCTACTTGTGTCATTGCCTTCCAGTGTCACTTTCCTAGAGACTTAACCACTTGGGTGACTATGTTGAAACACGCCACTTTAAACTCCTTAGGAAGAGATATTCTTGGACTATAAGGAAGAGCTAGCTCAGAGCCTGGCCACAGAAAATAACAAAGATACGACGTTAGTCTTTTTCCCGATGCTGTGGTGTTTTATAGTTACAGTCCACATCATTCAAAATTGCTTTCTTGCTTTACCTTTTTCTCCTTTCCTTTGGCAGTTTTCTAACGTAGTGAACTGTTGGAAAATCAGGTATCGATGACCAGCTATATGATTGAATCACCATCCTCTGTTCTCTGCAATCCCTTTTCTCTTTGCGAATGTATGCCACATGTCTCGTACAGAGCAGATATCTCTTGAAAGAGACTCTAAGTATTGAAGTTATTTTTAAAATGATTTTGTTATTGTGGTCATGTCTGTAGTTTGTATATTGTTATACTTTTTACCTCGAAAATCCCTGGGTCCATCATAACCTGATTGTATATATTTCCCGAGCTGTAAATACTGTTACGGTGCCAACACAAATGTCAATGTTAGTTCACAAACTGTCACAGCCAGCTGGCAGTTAATATCTTCTCTAAGGAACAAAGTCTGTCAATAGCAACAGGTATGGTGTTTGAGCTAGCATCATTATATGTGCCTCCTCTCTCTAATCTGCTGGATGATCGCAAGATACAGGGATAGCAGGGAGCAGCAGTAACGATCATTTTCCATCTAACTAGGGCTAGGGACCATGAACAGGTTTTTGTTAATGCAAATCCTGAAGACAGAAATCCCTGAAGAAAAATAATGACTTGTATGTCACTCACAGATATCAAGGCATAATGCAGTCTTGCAAGTTTGCTACTGGGATGAAATTAAAGGGTATATATTTTATAGGGCAGAGTTCTTAAGTATAATTACAACTGTGTGCACACATACAAATGTAATATGTATATATTATAGTATATATAATATGTAGATATAGTTACATTTAATAATAATTTTATATATGAGTGTGTATGTGTGTGTCTCCACACATCCATACATCCTCTGGCTTATATAACATTGTGATCTCCATAATCATCTTTACAGTAATGCGAGGTCCTTTGAGAATCTACTTCAATCATTGACAGTCTGACTGCCTCTCATGTACCTTGATTTTAACTGGCAGGATTCCGTCACAGCAGAATAGATAATTTTGCATCATTAATGATTTAGCTTCAAATCAGTTGAAGGGGGAAACTGTGTTGAGTGGTGTTGAAAATCAGGACCTTTGCTTATTGAATATTCAACTTACCTTGGATATCCATGCATAGAACTCAGTATAAATTGTTATGTGGCAGCTGTATTTCTGACAGCACAGTGCACTGATACCCTTAACCATGCTTGCAGTGGACACCGTATGAAAATACCGAATTCAATTACAAACGTGTTTTTAAAAGGATACCTGTGCTGACAGCATAGTAAGGAAATGTGTATATGCCAAAAATTAAGAGAAGACTGGAGTCTGGAGAGGAAATTGTGTAAGCTGAAGCTAGCTGCCGCCTTGTTGGCAGCTACTGACCATCGGTTAGAGGCTCAGATTGGACAGACACACACCAGAGAACACAGCTGAGTTTAGGGCCTTGTCAAGGTGGAGAGAGAAACCACAGACTCCTACATAAAGCTGTGCCTCTAAAATGACACCTGTAAAATGATCCCCTTGTGGGATTCCTAGAGAGGAAGGTGCTAGGAATCGTCGCCTATTTTGTTTTCTCTCTAGCTAGAGGAGAAAAATGTTACTCCTAGGAATTTGTAAACACAAACCCATCTTTACCTGAGTTTGAGGCTAACATTCACTCTTTCTGTGTGGCACATAACGTCCTGAGTCTAGAATGTTGTTTAACCTAGCCATGAGTTGGTAGTGCCAGGAACTGAGCTGAGACCAACCCAAATCCTCCCAGGAGGGCTTGCTTTCAAATGAGTCCTCAAATAATTCCCTCAGGTGATATTTCATGGAGCATGAACTAACGTTCAGAAACATCACAAATTGAAACAAACCATCATGAATAAGAGTGAGCAGAGTTCACACCTGGAAAGAATACAGAAATTGAATAAAAACAACATCAAACAAACACATAGAGACAGAGATTGGATTGGTGGTTACCAGAGGGGAAGGGGGGAGGCAGGAGGGAGAAAAGGATAATTAGGCACATGTGTGTGGTGATGGATTGTAGTTAGTCATTGGGTAGTGAACATGAGAACATGATGTAATCTATGCAGAAATAGAAGTATAGTGATGTACACCTGAAATTTATATAATGTTTTAAACCAATGTTACAGCAATTAAAAGAAAAAGAAATTGAAGTTGTCAGAGAGAGAATATAAGTATGCTTAATGTGTTTAAAAAATGAAAGTACATGTAACAATTAAAAAACAAAAGACTATCAGAAATATCCAGCCAGATTAAAAGATGAAACACACACATGCATGCACACAAGAAATTCTAAAATTAAAAATTATAATAATTGACACAAAATTTACAAAATGGGTTAAACATAGATTAACATAGATAACATAATTAAACATAGATAGATAAGACATAGATAAAAGAGAAATTGTAACTTAGATCTGAAATTTGACTTCATAAAATTACTCAAAGTGTAGCCAGAAAAATGTAATAGATTGCATATATAAAAGAGAAGTTAAACATGGAGAATAGAATAAGAAATGTCAAATATTGGATTTCCAGAAGAAAATAATGGAGAGAATAGTGGAAAGATAATATTTAAAGAGATATTGAAGAAGAACTTTCCACAGTTTTTAAGAATCAAGAATCCCAGTGAGTCCTAAGGAGTAGTAATAAAATGAAAGTCACCTGTAAATAGATCATACTGGAACTGTAGAATGTAAAAGTCAAAGAAAAGATTTGAAAAGCAGCTAGAATGAAGAAGACTGATTACCTACATAAGAATGACAATTGGTAGTTAATTAATCAATTTCAGTATTGGAAGACATATGATGGGGGAATATATCTTCTGTTGGGGAAGAGGGAGAATCCCTCTCTACCCTTTCCCTTAAGGTTCTTATGGCTTGCCAAATAATTAAAAAGGCAGGTTACCAGGAGAAAATAAAACAAAGTTTAATAACATGTATACATAGGAGAAACTCAGACAGAGAACTGAGCAACTCGTCATTCTGACTAAGCTGCTCCCTTAAGTATTTTCAGCTAAAGGTGAGGAGGGTGTTGGGGGGTAGTGGTTTGGGATTTCAGAGGGGAAGAAGACAATTCACATGGAGAGGGAAATGTAAATGTTTGTCAGGCAACTCTTTACAGGGCCACCTATAGAGAATGTGGCCAGAGAGACAGAATTTTGATAAGATGGGCTTGTTGGTGCCTTTCTTATCGCCCCCTTCCTTTTATGTTAAATTCTTTAAACAGTTTGGGAGGGTAAGCTCAAATGTTCTTCCTGAGTCTTCTGAGCCTTTACTGTCTTACACTCAAAATAATCCACATCCCAGAGTGGTGCATCTTGGGGCAGCCTACCCAGAACACCATCACTTCAAAACATTGAAAGAAAATAAATGTTAAGCTAAAATTGTATTTAAGAAAAATCTTTTAAAAGTAAAAACAACAACAACAACAAAGATATTTTCAGGCAAATAGAAACTCAGAGAATTTGCTTCCATCTAAACATTTAAAAATTTTTAAAATTACACATTTCGTAAAGACAGAAAATGATCCCAGAAGGAAGTCCTGAAATTTGAGAAGGAATGATTGAAAGAAATGTAAATAAACCTAAACAAAATATAACAATCAATATGATATTCGGTTTATGGAAATATTTATAAAGATGAAATGCAGTTACTGGACAATATTGCGTGTATGCATGGAGCATAAAGTTAAAGCATTCTAGGATCTTTGTCTTTTTCACCAAAATGTAAAGATATTGTCTAAAATTAAACTTGCTTTACCAAGAATACCACAAATATTCTTAGCAGCTTTCTTTGTAACAGCCAAAGCTGGAAATAACCCACATGTCCAACAACAGGTGAATGGGTCAACAAACTGTGGTATATCCATTCTATGGTTTACTACTCAGCAATAAAAAGGACAGAAGTATTTGGAGCTCAGTAATTATTCTAGTGAAAGAAGCCAATCAAACAGAACAAGTAGATGTTGCAAGATTCCAGTTATGTGAAATTCTAGAAAACACAAATCATCTCTAACGATAGAAAATAGATCAGTAGTTGCCTTGGGATTGGGTAGAGGCAAGTAGGAGCATGAGGAAGGGATTAAAAATGGCCCAAGGAATCTTTTGGAGTGAGATTGTTTATTATCTTAATTGTAGTTTTGGCTTCATGGTTGTATATGTATGTCAAAACTTACCAAATTTATATATGTGCAGTTTACTGGATGTTAACAACACCCAATAAAGCTTTAAAAGAAAATACCAACATTTTATAAAATTTGGAGACATCACATAAAAATTCAATCCTCAAGCTCCTTCTGAAAGGCCATAAACTCAGAGAGCCCTTTGTTGGCCTCCCAGCTCGCTCTTATCTCACAGCCCATGTTCCTCATCCACGTGCACTACTCTGCTGGCTGCCAGAGGTCTGACACTGTGACACTGAGGCCAGATCCCAGGAGACAGCTTCCCTTCCCACCTTTGGGCAAATTCAGACTCCCCTGAGAGTGAGGGAGCCCCTGCCAACCTCCCAGACCACTCTAGGACTATGGACAACTCTTCCAACCCAGGGTGAGATCTGGACTCAGAATCAACTCTGAATTCCAGACAACAAGGTTTGTTCTATGGATCCCTTCAGTG